GAGAGATTCCAAACCTGCCTGGATGTGATCCTGGGCACCCTGCTGTGGGTGACCTGCTGGAGCAACCAGACCTGCTCCAAAATCACATTTGTTTCATGTGGGCTCTCCCCTGCTGCCACGTGCTCAGTCAGAAGCCCTCAGTGCTGCTGTGCAGGGAGCCAGGGGCTTCCTGGAGGTGCCATGTCCCTGGGAGGCAAGGTCCTGCCTGGCCTGATCCTGCCCAGGCTGCATGGCAGAGGGGTTGCAGGGTGGTGGAACGTTGCTCTTCCCTGGGGGGTTGGCTGCTCCTGGCTCTGTTGGCCACCTGACAATTCAGTGTCAAAACACATGACATTGTTTATCCTAACTAGAGGAAGTCTTCACCCTGGTTTTAGGAGATGACCTGTGTGCCCACCAGCACCAGTGCTGCCTTAGTCCTTGTCACCACGTCCTCACCTCGATGGTACTGCTGACAACAAACTGTTGCTGGATGTGACAGCCAGTGAAGGGTTTTTTTTAAGGCTTTGTTCCCCAGGTGCCCCACAGCAGATGGGACGTGCTGTAGGGCAGGGTGCCTGGAGCAAGGTCCTGCAGCAGCAGATGAAGGTGGGTTGGTTCCACAGCACAGCCAGCATGGGCTGACCCTGCCCCAGCATGTCCTGCCACCAAAGGCACCAGTTGTCCTTGGCTTTCATCCAGGCCATCTGCAGCTTGGCCTGCTGTCACCTGCTGCAGGGGGCACAGCCCCTGGCCCACACAGCAGCTCAGGGGAGAGGCAAAGGGGAAGGTGAATCTGGGCTGGGGCAGGATTTGAGCACACTGCATCCCTCTGCTAAACAAGGGCCAATTCATCCCATGGTGGTGGCTCAACATCTTCCCCTCTGCCATGGGCTGGTGCCTCCTGCTATCAGTGTTTGCTGTCTGCTCAGAGAACAGCATTCAGGTTTTCCTGGAATGTTTTTGCACCTGGAGCCATGAGACAGGGGACACGGGTGTGGGAACAAACAGGAGGAGCTGGAAGCCACAGTGCAACAGGAAATCTGTGACAGTGGCCACCAAAGAGACACGCTGGGATGGTTTGCACAGCTGGAGTGCTGCCTTGGGTGCCTCTGAGCTCTCCAGGGGGAGAGGTGCTGGGGTAGCCCTGGATGTCAGGGAGTGGTTTGGTTGTCTAGAGTTTAGTCATGGTGATGATAGGGGTGAGTGTGTGTGGATAAGAATCAGGAGGAAGGCAAACAGGGCAGATGTCATGGTGGGGGTCTGTTATAGGCTGCCCAACAAGATGAAGAGGTAGATGAAATATTCTGGAGGCAGCTGGGAGAAGTCTCACAATCACTATCCCTTGTTCTGATGGGGGACTTCAACTCACCAGCTATCTGCTGGAAATACAATACAGCAGAGAGGACACTGGAGTGTGTGGAAGAGACCTTCCTGACAGAGCTGGGAGGGAACCAACAGGGGAAGGCTCCTGGCTGGACCTGTTTGTGGACAGAGAAGGGCCTGGGGGTGGAGGTTGAAGCTGTCTTGGGCACAGCAGTCACAAACTGGTACCTTTTTATTCTTGAGGAGTAAAGGAGGGGAGCAGCAGCAGAGCTGCCACCTTGGACTTCTGGAGGGCTGAGTTTGGCCTGTTTAGGAGACTTGTTGACAGTCCCTTGAGAGGCAGTCCTGAAGGGCAAAGGAGTCCAAGGCCAGGAAGGCTGGACATCCTTCAGCAGGGACATAGTCAAGGCACAGGAGCAGGTTGTTCCCAGGTAACTAAAGATGAGCTGGTGGGGAAGAAGACCAGCCTGGCTGAGCAGAGAGCTTTGGCTGGAACTCGGGAGGAAAAGGAAAGTCCCTGTGCCCAGGAGTGGGGGAGCAGGGTGGGTTTGACCCTGTGCAAGCCCCAGAGCCACGGGGTCCCTGTGCTGCTGAGTGCTGGGGCGATGGGGGAGCCCTGTGTCCTTCACCATCTCTCCTCTCCTCTAGGCCAGCTGAAGCTGTCCATCGAGGTGCAGGGCCGGATCCTGGTGCTGCACAGTGAGTATCTCCATGGGGCGTGTGGTGAGGTGGCCCTGGAGCCATGGTGAGTTGCTGAGAGGGACAGCACATCTGTGCCCTTTCTTTAAGCCCTTTGGAGCTTCGTGGCAGCTGTTGGGAACAGCTCTGGTAGCGTGGTGCAACTGGAGGCCCTTTGATTTACAGGCTGAACCAAAATTTCTGGGTGATCACGGCATGGTTTGCATCCAATTGTAGACATTTTTTTCTTTAACTCCAAGTGAAGAGAAAAAAGGCAAATGTAATTTGGGAAAAGAGGTTCTGAAATGCTTTGTCTCTCCTCTGAAATGTCTTTTACATTGGGCAAAAGCTTTTCCCAGATTTGCCAGCATTTTAAATGCTGTATTGTTCTCACACCAGCAATATTTCTTCAATGAAAGTATTTCACCTGGGCCATGCTGGAGCTGCTGTCCCTCCAGCCATGGCAGGTCCTGCAGGGGACAAGAGATGCTTTTCTTTCTCTGGGGGCACAGACTTGGCCACCACTGCTGGGTGCTGGTGCAGGAGAGTGATGCATCAATGGGGAAACTTCACTGCAGCCCTGAGGCAGGTCCCAGGGAACTGTGGCACTGCAGCTCTGATGGCCCTTCACAGAGAGGCCAACAAGGGTGTCAGAAGTAGGTCCTTCCTTTAGGCAGAACCTGACTGGAGACACTTGGGGAGCCCCTTAGGACTCCTGCTGCACTGAAGGGGCTGTGTCCTGGTCTCCTGGCACAGAGCTCTTTCTACCAGGGGCTTGTCAGGGCTTCATGCTAAATAAAGAATATGGTTAAATTCATGGTTAAAGAATATTAAGGAATAAGACAAAAGTTTGAAAAGGTTGGAGTAAAAATTCCCCCCTGTGACCAGAGCAGGCTCGTGGCTGCCCTGGGGCTGGGCTCTGTAGGGTGGGAGGAGAACAGGGCACTGGGACTCCCAGTGCTCTCAGGGGTGGCATCATCCCAGAGCCCTGCAGGGCAGGGCAGGAGAGATTAGGAAAAGTTTCCCTTGAGCAACATCTCACCTTGGAGCCCAGCCCCAGCCCTGCCTGGCTGTAATGAAATGGGGGCAGAGGATGGCCTGAGCCCAGTGAGGTTGTGGGGACCAGCCAAGCCATGTGTGGCCTCTGCTCGTCTCCATTTGGTGGTCACAGGAGCTCGCTGCCCTTTTGTGGCTGTGGAGCAAGCTTTGTAAAGGAACAACAGCAGGAAAATGTGTTGTGTTGGTTTTGTTCCTCTCCCTTCAAGCTGTGTGTGGTCCTGAGGGTCTGGTACAGGCATCACCCCAGATCCCTCCATCTGCAGCCCCAGTGTGAGCTGGCTGTGTCACTGCTTTGTTCTGATGCCATCTCCAAAGGAGGGGCTGGGAAGAGGGAAATGGTCCAGTAAAGAGGCAAAAGAGGCTCAAGATCTGAGACCCACCATCCCCCTGCACGTGCTGGATGCTCAGGGAACTCGGTGTGGGCAGGGGGAGGCTGGATGTTGTGGGGTGATCTCTCTTAGTTTTTTATTCTCCACCCCAAGATGTTTAAACCCAAAGCAGATCTGGAAGGAGGAGCTCTTGGTGCAGCCTGTCCTGGAGGAACCTCACAAACTGCTTTATGAAGCAGAAGGTCCTGCAGAACACCTTGTCCCTCGTGCAGTGGGGCTTCTGCCAGGCTGAGCACGCTTATGAGGAGCACATCTCTGTCTCTGACAAAGGCCAACTCACTGTGGCCTTGTTGGGCTCGTTAGGAGGGAACTTCATCTCCTCCTGAGAGCCCCTCGTGGGCTTTCCAGACTGCTGCACACCCATCCCCTCCAGCCACGCCGGGGAGCACAGGGCCCTGCTGGCAGAGCTGCCCTCGGGGGGTGGCCCTTGATATTTCACTTGATGGCACCTTTGGCTCTGGGGCAGGAGCCCAGGGTGGGGGGAGGTCAGGCACACAAAATGTGATTTGCCATCCCAACACTGAGCCACGGCTGCTGCCAGCCTCACCCACAGGTCTGGGTGTTCTGGCATGGGTGTGCTGAGGAAAACATGGAGCAAACCCCTTCAGCTGTTTGTGGGTGCTCAGCAAGACCAGGGTACTGGGGAGGCGTGTGCAGGGTGCTGGTGGGGCAGGAGGTGGGGGTCAGCCCCACGAGGAGGGAGCAGCCCGTGGAGCAGGGTGCTGTGGTGCAGGGAGATGCCTTCCCTGCTGCTCTGGGTTTCTGTGTCTCTGTTTTCTCAGTCTCTGTGACTCTTTGGTTTCCTTTCCAGTCCTGGAAGCAAAAGGTCTGATGGGAAAGGAGCACCGGCCCTGTGACTCCTACGTGAAGGTGGGTTCTCCTGGGGCTTTGCTCAGGGAGCTTCATGCTTTCTTGGGGTTTTGTGGTTGGCTTCTCCAAACATGCTCTGGGCTGCCTGTCCCTTCCCTTTCCTCCTCTGTCCTGCTCTGGCCAAGCATCCACAGCATGCAGGGGGGTGGCTGGTCTCTTGCCCAGTGCTGGAGGGCTCATGGGGTTTGTTGGCATGGTGTCTGCATGGAGCTGGAAGAGAGGAGGACAGGACCTGCTAAGGGCTGTGTCAGCCGTTCAGTGTAGGACAATCCCACAGGGTGCCCAAGGACTGGTGGGGATGAGGTGTTTGGCCAGCACAGTGTGGCTCTGTGCTCTCCTGGAGGTCCCCTTGGCAGGCTGCCCCCACCGCAGAGCACGGGGAAGCATCTCCCCTGCAAGGGGGCTGCGAGT